TAAGTTAGAATAGTGTCGATCGGAGTAGTTATCAATCTCATTCCGATTGGAATGCAACTTCTCCCTCTTGACCCAAACAGGGAGTCTTTCAAAAACGGTAGCAATAAGTGCTTTCTCATCCATGGTACAACCACTAAACCAGCGCGTACCAAAAGCAAAAATAGTCTACTAAATTGTCATTCCGGCAAAAACGAGAACGCAGGTTAGCGCTGGTTACTGGCGCCGACCTGCTTTAACTGTGTACTTGTCAATTTAAAAACGTGCATTCATTTTGAAAGCTTATAAGCGCGGCTCGGCGCTGATTGCCGGTAAGCGGAAATCTGCTTCCACTGTGTTTGTACACATACTTAGGCATATACTTATGAGTCCACAGTATTGCCTTCGTGACGTCGAAACCATTTTATTACTGTTACTTTTAACACTTTTCTCTATGTTTACTATCATTCTAAGGGTCAAAATGTAAAAAACCGTCTGGACATTTATACGTATATATGGCGACACGATAACTCTAGAACGAAATTCATGATCGATTTGCGGTTTTGAAATAATTTTCAGATTTTCTGACCTATTTACGCTAAATAAATAAAGTTTGTCAAAATGCAATGCATTTATTATGGATCTTATTTTGTTTACTAAGACATAGTGAAACCAAACTATATGAATGATTATGCCTGTCAACTGTGAAACTACAGAGATTTTTTTTATGTTGCTGTCATTCTTAAATGTCAAATTATTTAAAAATTATTTTAACATCCTTTCTAAAAATCTATTTTTGTTGATATTTATTATAAATTAAAGTGGATAACTAAAAATCTGGAGTCCAGAGCTGAAACCCCATAAGTAAGAAAATCATTAACTCCCATTTTGACACACCCTATATACAACATAGCAAATTAATACAGTCTATTAAAATTGTTTGACAATGTGAAAACAATTTAATATGTTTAGCTACTTGCAGGGTGTTTTTCTTTAAAAATTTATAGGTTTGGTCAGCCCCTCGTTTATGGACCTGAGACTCGATAAGTAAGAAAGTTTAGATACTTTTAATAATTTAGAGTTAATATTGTGACGAGTAAACAACTTAATTTTATTTTTTTCCAAGCTAAATATAAATTAAGACCATAAAGCATAGAGTAGTTCTTAGAAAACAGTCCTAGCAATATAAAGATCCCCTACGTGATTAAGCCTTAGTAATGCTAATGCATCACAATCCTAAAAATTTAAGTCCTAATACTTCCCAATGTCTTTTGATTAAACGAAAGAGGAGTATTACCGACATACAATGATGGAATATGAGGAGAAGCACCGGCATGCTTTTTCAGAAAATGAGTAAACCATCTAGCAACCATTTAGTATGATAATGATAACGATATCCTGATGCCATATTTTTAACATACATATTTGGCCTGCAAATATATACCTCTGACTCTGAGAATGATAACGATATGCTAAATAAATAATTTTGTCTACGCCCACTCATTTTGCGTGAGATAAGTTAATTATTGCACGTCTTTTTCTTATCTCACCGCTTTTCAATCATTCAAACAAAAAAGTCAAAATGTCAAAAACTATTTAAATTTAACAAGTATTAGAAATTAAAAATTTAAAAAAACCGACTTCAAAAACGTGCAGATGCCATCACCACATCTTAACTAAATTTATATGGGACCACCCCTAAGGTACCCCCTTGCTAACAAAAAAAGAATCATGTAAATCGGACAAGGTGGTAAAGCATTATCGCTAAACATACATAAAAAATGAAGAGTCTGAGGATTTTCTCATAGACCCAATTATTAGATTTTGACCAAATTTATATGGGACCATCCCTGAAGTACCCCCTTTCTAACAAAAAAAGAATCATTGAAATCGGACAAGGTGGTAAAGCATTATCGCTAAACATACATAAAAAATGAAGAGTTTGAGGATTTTCTCATGGACCCAATTATTAGATTTTGACCAAATTTATATGGGACCACTCCTGAAGTATTCCCTTTCTAACAAAAAAATAATCATTAAAATCGGACACCGTGTTAAAGAATTATTGCTGAACATACATAAAAAAAAATAATATCGCGACGAATTGATAACCTCCTCCTTTTTTGAAGTCGGTTAATAACAAGATATTGTCACAATCTAAATCAACAATAAATAAATTTTTTTTTAAATTAATATTAAAGTGTGCATATATAGTTTTCCTTCAAATAACAACACTTAATTAAAAACGTATGTAGCTTTGTATTTGACAGGTTGCAAAATTTTTGAAAATCTTTGACAAATATGTTAACATCACGGTTCGTAGACAACGCGGTGGCCTCATCACGGTTGCTAAGGACGCAGTGACGTCACGGCATAAAAAAGTGAGTTGACACCAAAGAGGTTAGAAAGGGTAGAGATAACATAGGAAGCATTTGTCGCTGCGCAAATTTTGCCAAAACCGAAAAACTGGGTGGAAGGAGTAGGGAGATGGTCTGGGCCGGACTTAAATATTTGTATTGTAGTACCTAATTTTGGTAGGTATTTAAAAGATGAAAAATTATGAGACGTTTTTTTGACTTTATTTATTAGCACGATTCATTTATAATAAGGACAATAACACTTTATCAATATATAGCTAGCTAAGGGCCGATTCCACCGTTGTGTCAAACGAAGTTAAAAATACTAAACGAAGATTAAAATGACATTGTGAATGTAAAAATGTCATTTTAATCTCCATTTAGTAATTTAAACTTCGTTTTTGTTAATATAAAAATGTCATTTTAATCTTCGTTTAGTATTTTAAAATTCGTTTAACAAAACGGCGAATCAAAGTTTATAAAATTATTGTAACAAAATAGCTGTTGAGACAAAAAGTTATCGAAATAGCCAAAGTACTTTTTGCTCGAATTACACACAAGATTTTTTCTTCGATTACACCAAAATAAAATAAATAATTAAATTTTATTAGATAAAGTATTTATGATTTAATTATTTACGGAAAATACCGTTCAATGATTTAAAATATTAGGAAGTCAAGCTATTTATGTAACCAGTTAGAAAATACCTTATTTTGTGTAACGAGTAAACGAGTTACACAAAATGGCATTTCGTAACGTGTTTACATACAAGATTTTTTCCAATTTTGACTTGATTATTTATAAAATTGTGTTAAAAATGATTCACTATCATTCTTTTCAAATATTTCAGAAAATTGTTGTATTTGATTACCCTATGACGTTTTTTTTTTCAATAGTAATAATAAAAATAAGGGACATGTGCAGTGTTGCCGATCTGATTTTGGACATTACCCGCAAGAAATTTAAAAAAAAACCTTTTTAACCATTATCCTTAAATGAGTACGTCAAAATTTTACCCCCAACATTTCTGGGCAGTTTTCAATAACGGTGTTCAATTATTTAAAAAATATAATGCATTTTACAGCTTCTCTTTTTTTGTTTTCTTTTTTGTTGTTAAACGTAATGTCATATTTTCAAATGTGAAATGTCACTATTCATTACATTTTTTTCGATATTTGGTTTTGGTTTTTTCGATTTTTCGTTTTTTGGATTTTTGGATTTTTCGATTTTTTATTTTTCGATTTTTAGATTTTTCGATTACTCAATTTTTCGATTTTTTAACTTAAAAACCAAAAAAGAGGCAGTTTTATTTATTTTCATTTCGTAATTGGTGACATAATCAACTTTTCGTAATCAGTTGCATAATGTTCTACTTTATGCAACTGGTTGCATAAAGTAGATCGTTTTGACACTTATTGCGATTACAAAATATATTACTTTATATGTCAAAATTAGAGAAAATAACAAAATGTAAATTAAATGGATAGATCCCATATTATTATAGAGCAGTGTTTCTCAAACTTTTTTTGCGACGGAACCTTTTTGAAAAGCGAAATATTTGACGGAGCCCTAAACACATAAAACACGTAATTTAAAAAATATATTTCAAATTTTTTTCATTTTGACAATATTACTGCCCATCTACGTAGTCTGTTGGCTGAAATTTTGGGAGTACCTTTAGCTGGGTTAAAAATAGTTACCAGAGGTAAGTGATCTGTAACTAGGATAAAGAAATACCCATATAAATATTCATTAAATTGTATATATCGATCTTAGTATTACAGAAATGATTTACGTAAAAAAATAAGGTGTACAAATACATAAAATTTATTTATCCCCCGTAAAATACCAGTAAAATATATTATAAAATGTTTTCATTCAAAAATATTAATTTGTTGAAAACCTAACAGAGGCGCCACTTTCCAGACAAAAAAATCTTGCAATGTAAGGGTTTCCTAGTATCCCACTTTAAAAGTTTATTTTTGACTATTAAATTCAATTTAGCTTTTTTCCAAAAAAAAAACTGAGACAATGGGTAAAAAAGTCGAGTTTTGTATTTTTTTTTTTTAGAAAAAACAGATTCAAATGTTGAAATTAACTACTTAGGTTATGAGCCTCCGGACTTTGTTACGATTTCGCAGCACCACTTTAGAAATTATTTATTAGAACCGAACAGTGAATGGTCGAGTGGGGGGGATTCCTGCTAATGCATTAGAAATATTATTGAATTTCTTAAATAAAATAACACTCCCTGCCCATTGCGGCATTTGAACCTGAAACCCGTCTATCTGAAAGTAATGACTCAACCACTGAGCCAATACACACCCTTATTGTGATAATAATTATAATAATTTTAAATAAACATAAAAGACAAAATAATACTAAAAATTATTATTTTATGAAAATAATCACATTTGAGTAGTTGAATATCCTCCACGATTTAAAAAGAAACTATTTGCATTTGCTAAAACTAATCTATTTCAAATTAAATTGTTATATGCATTCCAATTTTAATTAAATAATATAAATATTGCACGTTAATGATAAATATGTTTTTAAATGTGTTTAAAAGCTATCAAGATAGATGTAAATCACATAACGGCGATTGTAAATTACAGATCTACTGGTACAGAGTAATTCCCCTTGAATTTGAGTTTCTTAACATGTAGACTTAACAATATATATATAATGAGCCACACTTCTTTCTTGGCATAATCGTCCGTTCCTAAGCCAGATCAACAGCCGCTAGAAAATATTTAAACAATATGAAGAACATTTTAATTGCACTTTTCCTTTTTACTATTTTCGTTAGTACAATTTGTGTTCCTGTAAGCGAAATTGCTGTAGAAGAATTGGAAAATCAACAAGGTAAGTTAAAATTTATTATTACTATGAAATTTTATTAGTTATACAGGATGATTTGAAAGTTACTTTTCTATTTAAAAATTTGTTTGAACTTATAATACACAGCTCCATTAAAGCCTTTAAGGTTCTGTTCTGTATCTGTAAGATGTGGATGGTAGATTACCTCACGGTACTTAGGCCTCACTAGATCCATTGTACATCCGCCTAATCTTAGGTCGTCAGCCAATTTACAGATTTGGTGTAGTTGATAACGTCGCCGAAAAGTTTCTTCCTTATATCGATAATAATCGCTGAAATATAAGTATAACGCAAACCTCCTTAGAGATGATAGCGTTGGTCAGTCGTAAATTCGTATACTCTATAGTCTTATCTTAGTGTTTACACAGCCCCATGTTAGAGAAATATTTCAGTACGTAGAAATGACCAGTCAGATTGCGTGATCAGATGCAGATTATAGGTTTGTTTTAGTTCACGTTCTAGAATTGTTCCAGAACCATGCGTGGAACAACTGCGCAATGTTCCTTAATTCTAAACAGTTCTATTTGTACTAGAAACCAAAGTACCGCCAAAACAGTTAAACTTCAAAAATTTAATTATAAATAACACAGGATCAGTGTCTAAGTAAGATGAAACCATTCTCAAGAAATACCAAAATACAGAACATTTTGTTACGATGAAACCAAAACAGAGAATATTTACTGCGCATGCTCCAAAGGTTCTGGAAGAGTTCTGGTACAGTTACGATAGTGAACCAAAACAAAGCTTATGTCTAGTCATAATACTTGTTTGCTATAGTGTTCTCAGAGTATCTTAAAATCCCCCTGGTAAATCTGCAGCTTCTTGTTCCATCCCACCTTTTCCTGAATTTCACAAGGGAATGTTCTATGTTTGTCAAGACCGAAATATTCTTAGTTCAATTAAAGGAACAAGTCTAAAAAGGTTACCTTTCGATATGGGGTAGCTTTCGATGCATTTTAAAGTTACCACATTGTTGATGGATACTGCGATCAAGGCTTCATGACATTCTAGTACTAACCTTGTGTTAATTCGTTTTGTATGCAGAGTGATTAGTGCTTGTCTCCTATCTGACAATCTGTATAGATGTTTCTTCTGGTGATACTGTATCTGTTAATTTCGTTTGTTTGTATGAGAATATATTGAGCTCAGTTCGAACTATACTGGTATAACTTTGTATAATTTATGAGGTATAGGGTGAGTCGGGAGGATCGCACCAAACTCTAGGAGTATATTATACACGTGAAAATAATGTAAAAAACTCATATGTTCTTATCCGATTGTCATTTGTTTTCAAGTTATAGCATATTAACAAATAAACCTAATTACACATAAAAATTCTCTTAATCATAGCGTTCTTTCAATAAATGTTTAAAAATACCGCCAATGACTTCTAAACATTTTCTGCTTCGTCTACGAAGAGCGTTTGTTGCTCTCCTAATTGATTCATTTCTTTCTTCTTTAATATGGGCTGCAGTATTCTCAATTCGTCTAATTAGTGCATCCCGTGTGTCCACTTTTATTTTGTAGACTTCATTTTTCATCCAGCCCCATAAACAAAAATCTAATGGTATGAGGTATGGAGATCTTGCAGGCCAATTAATAGAACCTCCACGACCAATCCAACGCCCTGGAATACGTTCGTCCAAATGTTGCTTGACCTGACGAGCAACATGTGCAGGAGCTCTATCGTGCTGATAGTACATCTGCATTCTAATGTTTACAGGAACATCCTCTAGCAGGCCTTGTAAATCATTTTGTAAAAAATTGAGGTGGTTGTTTCCTGTGAGACGATTCTCCAAAATGAATGGGCCAATTAAATAACTGTCAACCATACCACACCACATGTTTACAGAAAACCGATGTTGAAAATTGCTTTCGACTGTTGCGTGGGGATTTTCGTCTGACCATACATGATAGTTACGAGTATTATTAATGCCATCACGGGTAAATGTAGCTTGATCCGTAAAGAGTATACTCGATACAACACGATGATTATTATTTATCCACCGACAAAACTCCATACGGTTAGCGTAATCCTGTGGTTGTAGGTGCTGTACTCTCTGTACGTGATAAGGATATAAGCCTTGCTTGTGGAGTGTGTTTATCACTCTTTTTGTGGAATTTCCAATTGAGTGGCAATTCTCCGTGAGCTAGTAGTTGCATCTTCTTCTACTAGATGCAGAATATTTTGTACTTCTACAAAACCTTGTCGAGTAGCGCGTTCAGATGTTATGAAAGCACTGGGAAGTTTACCAGTCTCGCACAATTTGTTGAAAACTCTAATAAATACGTTTTTATCAGGATGTCTTCGGTGTGGAAAACGTTGACGATATTCTTCAGCAGCAGCTGTAGCATTTCCATTACAAAAACCATAAACAAACACCATATTTGCATATTATAAATTTGAATAAGTATCTGGCATTTTGCAACACTAACAATCACATAAATTCGAAATTAAACGTTCATTTACTGTTCACTGTACACTGACAGTTCATCAAAACGTCAGAATTATCAAGTGCCTCTGAGCCTTGAACATATGGCATACTTTGATAATGTTAAAATTCAGAAATGGAAAGCTAGATGAACATTTTTAATTACGCCATAACTTGAAAACAAATGAAAATCGGATAAGAACATGAGTTTTTTTACATTATTTTCACGTGTATAATATACTCCTAGAGTTTGGTGCGCTCCTCCCGACTCACCCTGTATATCTTGGTGAGAGATCATGTTTGCTTGAAACAATGGAAGCATACCACATACTTTGATTACTATACGGGGCAAGAGAGAGGTCCGACACGCCCAACATAGGGCGCGGTCATCCGTTTCTGCTTCCGGAATTGTCGGTTTAGTCGTTTTAACCTGTCAGATTAAAACAAGAAAACCGACTATTTCGAAGCATAATCGGATGATTAAAACGCACCTATTAGAAATATTGCGCCAAGATGTACGCAACACGTGATAAGGGATCAAAATGGCGGAGTTTTCTATCTCCTTTTAAAAGGCACTCAGAAAGCTGCGCAGTGCGACCATTCTCCGTATAGTAAAAGAAAATCAAAGTATGTGAAGCATACCGACTACCTCCAGCTAAATCGTGTCATTGTCATCAGAGCAGTCTCCCCACATACTTTGATTTTCTTTTCTTATTTTCAAATTCCAATGAAACCAACATCATGGTATACAACCATACATGTTAATTTTACTTATTTATCACTTCCATTAGATAAGTACTGACTAGCTGTTTTTTCTAACATATTCTTAGATTTTTAATAACTTTCTAAATTTAAAAATCAACTTTTAAATAACCCTGTTTCAATTCTTGGAATTTCTTTATCTGATTATCTTTTAGAAACAATAATAATAAATAATAAACAACTAATCTATCATTAATAAGAAGATAGATTGAATATATTAAGTGTTAATTACACGATAGCCAGTTATGTAATATATTTCAAAATTGGCATTTAATTAAAACTTATCTCATCACTCATTCCGTACTAAACGTGACATAGTTAGTTAACTATTTAATATACTAACTATACTATCCTTTGGGTATTTTTGGCTTTGATAGAGTACAGTAATTATATTTATTCAAACTTTTATCAAAATAAGTTTATTAACATTTTGTAATTAGTTTTAATTCTAACATACGAAAGAAAAACGATGTTATCCAAAGTTTGTGTTAATTTAAACATGATACCAACTAGGTATCTAATAGCAGAGTATAGGTTTATTTCAGTGCTCATAAAATACATTATTGGATAATATCAGAGAAGAAGTACTGAACATGGTAATAATAATTAATGTTTTAAAAGGAAAAATTATATTTTTAGTGTTTGTACAATTGATTGAAACTAGCTGTTTTTATATTTTTTAGAACATCTTAGAGTTAAACGGTTTACTTGTGATGTACTGAGCGTTGAAGCTAAAGGAGTCAAACTGAATGATGCTGCCTGTGCAACACACTGTCTATTCCGGGGTAAACGTGGAGGATGGTGCGATAAGAGAAGAGTATGCAATTGCAGATAGAAGTTCCAAAGAAGCCAAAAATAATAATTCATAAACCTATAACCAGTATATACCTCGATTTACATTATGTTGTCAAACAAATAAATTAATCTTAATATTTATTATAAATATAATACAACTGACTTTTTTACTATTTGAGTTTTTTCTATTTAAGGGTATATTTAATGCTTTCAGGCTTCATGCTTATATATTTTAATATTTGTTTACAAAACTCTTATCATTGTCTTGCTGATATGCGACAATAAATAATCATGAAGATACTGTCAAATATCTAAAACGCTCAAAAAGTGAAACATTAATCTATCGTAATATAGAACATAAAGACGAAGTTCCAATAAACAATAAAAAAAACTTGAAGCGCCAAAAGTTTTCCGAACGAGTGAGCTCTTTTTTGATTTTGAGATTACACACTCGCAGGTCACAGGGGACGTGGTAATCCTTTACAAAATATAGAGATAGATGTTCACTCGCAGTGCCTGTAATCTATGGTTCGTATACTTTTTTCCTAATATGTATATAGGGGATAAACGATAGGAAATAGACGAAACAAGTTTACAAGAAGAGTGTGGATGAGAGAGTTTGAAATGGTCGACCTCAGCAAATGTACCTCAGTCCTATTGAGGACGATTTTAGCAAAGGCTAGCTTAGTAGTATCCTAATTAAGTTAACAACAATGTACCTACCTATATAGTTTAAATGTAAAAAATTTGGATATCAAAAGTAATTTCAGTCGTTTGGCCCTGCTGACTAATGAGTTTGACGACTACTGGTCTATCTGAACAAAAGTTTAATGTATCATTTAGTGCTGATGGTTTATCTGAATTGTTCTGGAAAAATTGTGTTCGTACTTTCGCACTGCCCTTTTATTTGTTATACAACATATCTCTAAAAACTTCAGAGTTTTCCCAAGCTTCTGGAAGAAAAGTTTTATAACTCCTACTTATAAGTCTTAGTACAGAGAAAATAATATATAAATTAACGCGAAGTTTTATAGCAATCTCAAATTATAAAGTTATTTGATAAATTAATTGCTGAACAAATAGCCTGATTAGCAATATATACTTGTTTGTGAACAGCATGGTTTTTCATTGAATAAATCAACAACAAACATTTTTTTATTACTAAAAGCATATTTTAAATGCCTTTGAATTTGAATTTTGTATTGGATCCAAATTGGATCAAAATGCAGTAGATAGTCCTTTTGGAGTACAACAGGACACTGTGGATCAATTTTCTTTAATTTATTAGTTAATGATATTGTTGAAGTATTTAATCATTCAATAAAAAATCTTCCATTTGCCAAAAAATTAAAAATATTTAAGTTAATAGCAAACGATGGAATCTGTATTTGTTGCTAGCTAATATGGATACTATGGATAGGTTTTACAACTTAATAATACTTTCGACCTTAAAAGCCAATAACCCCTAGATATTTGAATTTATATGTTACTTTTATTTGAAAGTCATCAGTAAAAGTAAGATAACTGTATGTTGCAAGACCAGATAAGTTAGCAATAGTTAGCATTTATTGTTAGAAGGCGGTTTGTAAATTAGGATTTTATTATTTGTGGGTCTTTTTCGACTTTTACCTATAAATCTTTCCATGTGTTATACGTATATAAAATTACCATATCATCAGCAAGTGCAATAAGGTTACCTGCACTTTTTATAAAAAATAAATTGTTTAAATAGACATTGAAATATATGGAACCCAGCAGTGTGCCCTACGGTGACCCATACTCTAGATCCCTTAAATTAATGTATATATTTTTAATTTGAACACGCTGTCTATTAGGTAAATAGCTTTCAAAAAATGTCAGTGTTTTACCTCTTACACCAATATTTTTAAAAGACTCAAGGAGCAAAGCATGGCTAACTGTGTTAAATGCCTTTGATGAGTCTATGAAAACACACAAAGCAGGCCGGCTGCTATCTACAGATTTATATATTTTTTTGATTAATTTTAAAATTACATCTTGAGTTGAGATAACTTCTCTGAAACCGAATTGATTACTAGATATATTACTGTATTTATTTAAGTATTCACATAGTCTAGTTTTTAAGAGCTTTTAAATACAAATTCTGCTCTGGACAGGGCTCGAACCTGCAACCTCTGGATCTTTGATCCAACATTTTAACTCCAGGACGTTGGAACGGCGATTCAGTGATTAGAAATGATGTTTGACTAATATAATCTTGCGTAAATGTGTAATACAGTAACAATCTTATGGGACAGTAAATCATATAGGGGTATTGGGGTCGATGTCAGTATTATTGTAAATATGACTTTATTTATATATTTTTATAATTGTTATTAGTTTTAAAATAAACTTTATGTTGTCGACCTCCACGCTATCTCGGAACCGTAGGAAGACGGACAGAGCAATCTATGCCCACCTTCTCCAAGAGGCTCTGAGAGAGATGGAGGCCGAAACACCAAACAATAACAATGCTTTGGAGAAGTACTCAAACACTACTCAAAGCACAATAAATAATGTCTATAAGAAATCCTGTCATCTAAGGCTGTTCCAACACGATCAGGCGACTACCGCATGGTGGTGTTACGAGTTGGATCACCTCAGGAAGATGGCTAGGAAATCCTTTAATAAGGCAAGAACGACAAAACTCAAAGAGGACGGACATACTTACAAATCTCACTTCAGAGAATACAAAAAAATCGTCAGACAAAAACAGAGAGATGCATGGAGATCCTACAGCGAAAAAATCGAAGATTTCCCGCAGGCAGCGAGGCTTCAAAAAGCTCTCTCAAAAGATCCACACCTATGGATTGGTGCGCTAATCAAAGAGGATGACACGAAAACTGCCAACCTCGAAGATAGCATCAAACTTGTGCTGTCAACACACTTCCCTGACTCGGTCATCACAGACGTGGCCGACTGGGTGGAGGAAGAATACAATCCATCTGTCTACAATTGGAAAACGCCAAACACATTGTAGACGATGAAAAAATTAGATAGACAATATCCAGCTTCTCTCTATTTAAATCGCCAGGACCTGACAATATCTATCCAGCCCAACTTCAGAGGGGTCTGAAAGAACTCACAGTGCACCTGGTGGGTATATTCAGATCCTCATTGGCTCTAAGGTATATCTCTAAAAAATGAAGATAGGTAAAAGTGGTATTTATACCCAAACCTGGAAGGTTAGATTACACTGTTCTAAAAACATACCGACCAATCAGTCTGACATCGTTTTCCATAAAGACACTGGAAAGGCTGTGCGAAAGATACATAAGGGATACGGTGATTACAACAACATCTCTACACCCAAACCAACATGCATACACCCCTGGCAGATCTAATGATTCAGCCCTTCATCTAGTTTCTGACCGGATAGAAAGATCCGTGGACAATAAGGAGTCCGCCTTGGGTGTTTTCATAGACATAGAAGGTGCTTTTGATAAAACAACCTTCCCAAAGATAATGATGTAGGATGTGGTGAGGCGAGACGTCACTTTTGGCACATCGAAAGGTACACCGTCTTGCCGATTCACTAGCCAAGAAAGTAGCCAAACAAATACTTTTTGGACCTGGCCCTTCTATTGGCCTGACAAAATCGGTAGTGACGGACTTAATTAAAGAACATTCTCTTTTAAAAGTCAAAGAAAGAAAGGATAAAACAAAAAACTGCAGACTTGCCAGGGAGCTCTTAAGTTATCCTGACTGCAGCAAACAGATACTTGACTGTGACTAGACAGAATCTGCGCCTGATCACAGGCATTCTGACTGGTCATTGCCAAGTACGGAAGCATCTCCATATCATGGCGCTGGTAGAATCCGCACTCTGCAGAGGGTGCGAACAAGAAGATAAGACCACTGAGCATATCCTTTACGATTGCTCGACGCTCTCATTTATTAGAAGATGTGTGTTCGGCGAGTATCAGCTAACACCGGCCGATATAAGAAAATCACCTCTTGGCGACGTTGTCAACTACATTAAATCTGTAGGCTGGCTTACGAGCTAGGAGGTGCCTATCATCTTAGGAGGATGCACAATGGGCCTAATGAGGCTTAAGTGCCGTGGAGGTAACCCACCGTCCACACGTTACAGATACAGATAGAACTGTTATTAGTTATTAACATTTGCTCAACAAATAATAGTGATTTCTCGATTTCTTGTGCCATAAAAATTATTTTTATTGTACGATAAAAGTCATTAAATTAAAAATGAACTATGTTGGTTATTTGAATTTTTATACCTATAGTCAAGTACAACATTTTCTGTAGACATTTTTCCCTTGTTAAAATACAGGGTGTCCCAATGAAAAGTAGCCCATTTCCAGAGCTTATAACTTTTAAACGTTCGGTTTTTGCTGATATGTGTTATTTTGCTATAAGTTTTGCTTCAGTGACACATAAATTATGTATTACCTAAACAGGGTGTTTTTTAAAAATCTCCTCTTTTAAATTCACCGTAACCAAATTTTATCAAATGGAAACGGGCTACTTTTTATTGGGACACCCTGTATAAAATAAATTAAATAATTTAATAAGAGAATTTTTTCTGTAGAATTATAGTTAGTTTAAGGTTGTGAAAGCCTTAAAAAAAATTTGGAGGTAGCACCACAAAAAATCACCCAGCTATTTTATGCAGCCTTTGGCTAAGCAACCATATGGATTTTAGAAAGCCGGCGCCAGTTTTACGGTATAGGAAGATCGGATGATAGGCAATTCCAACTATAAAATAAGTAATAAGTGCATGCTATTAAGTAATGCTGGATAATCAGGTATAAGAAGGTTGGTTCACAGACAATTCCAGGTATATATTTGACAAACCAAATTCAATAGCGTGTACCTCAAAAACTAGAGCTGATAGAAAAAATCTGTTAGGCAGTTTTAGAATCAGTTTATTACATATATCCAAGATCAGTTCTTGGATTTCCAGTTCTATTTTTTTTTTATTTTGTTGGCCTGTATTATTAGTTACATGGTTAACGACCACATTATTAAAAAGGTTATCTTGGCGTTGTTATTTACGAATCCTGTAAAAAACTAAATTTTATAGAATTAAGAAATATCGTTTAGGTTAATTTCATGACTAGGTAGTACGTGTTGTTTTTTTTTTAAATATGGGTATAATATTTCGTGACTTGTTAATGAATTTGGTGGA